AGGCCACCGGCCACCAAAATTGTTTTGAAATACTTAATTTTTTTCAGGTACGAAAATATATAAAGCTTTAGCCTGCAACCATACAGACCAAGGATGAATGATATTTCACAAAAGGCAGAGGTAAGTAAATCTCAAAACCTCTGAAAGAGAGGGAAAGAGGGAGAGAGAGGGAGAGAGACGTGGAAGGAAAGAGTAAAGAGCCATGTATGGCTGACTGGAGGACTGTTGGGTCATATTTAATTTAATAACATCAAACTCTAAAACAAAAGGTACACTTCACATGCTGGTCTTGGGTCAGTATTTTCTGATTCTAGGAAGCAAAAGTACTAAATTTATGAATGGTAGTAAAGTAGGTAATGGTTAGCATCTTCACTAGACTTTTAAATATCTTGGTTAAGTCTTAGAAATTACTCCTTTACTATTTATTTTTTAAAAGGTTTATTTTTATGCATGAGTGTTTATCTGCTTGTATGCATGTGTACCACATATATGCCTGGTGCTCACAGAGGCCAGAAGAGGGTACTGGATCTCCTGGAAGTGGAGTTATAGGCAGTTGTGAATAATCACATGGTTACTGGGAACAGAACATAGGTCCTCTGCAAGAGCAGCAAGTGCCTTTAGCCACTGAGCCTTCTCTCCTGCTTTCATTTCTTTGTTCAACAAGGCTTGTCCTAAACTTGGGGAAGGTGACGGTTTATCAGGTTCAGGGTTCTTTAAGCCCTTCCTCCTAGCAGCTTCAGTGAGATTTCTCTTCACTTTTCTGCCTCTTTCTTTTTTCTGGTTTTTGGTTGCATTAGTGAGTATTATGAGAGCTCAGTTGCTGACACTTGAGAATGACAAAACCTAAAGTGGCCAGCGACACAGTAAACACATGCTGGATCTGCCACAGATTAGCCAACAGCTTGCCTTTGTCATTAGGAGAAAGGGTTTGGTGTTCTGACACTGAAGTTGTACTTATTAAAGTTTTACTTCTTTAGAAACCAGCTAACTCTTGAAAAAAGATAAGAATTTGCATTCCCAATTTTTTCTAGTCTCCTTTTTTAAAATTAAAAAAATTTTAATTACTTTTTAATTTTATGTGTATGTGTGTATTGCCTGCATGTACATAAGTGCACCCATGTTGTGCAATGCCTGCAGAGGTCAGAAGAGGCTGTCAGATCCCCTGGGACTGGAGTTATGGACAGCTGTTAGCTGCCAT